TTCAATCGTTACGGCCCTGTCCAGATTGTGTCCGACTGTCTTTGTCTTAGTTTTCGTAGCTTTTTTTCTAAGCCTAACTTCCTTACCAATCTCTTGTAAATTCCTTGTCATATCTTGGATGTTCTGTTTATCTTTCCAAATTAAACTGTAGCAGCAGCACAAAACAGAGGCCAATACTCTTCTCAACATGTACTCAAGCAATAAACGATTCTCAGATCCAAAGCTGGTTAGCACTCAATGGTTTTCTGCTGAACTACAGTTTACCTGTTGCACAAGTGAAATTCACTGACAACTTCTGTAGTAGATCTCCATCCTTAAGATACCAAAACCTGAATCCAAGATGAGAGATAACTACTTTCTTTCATAAAGCTTCTACACCTGTCCCCAAATTATTTGTCACTAAATGTTTGGCTGAAATGGTGGATTTACTGACTATAAAGGATGGGTAAAGTTCTGTTAAGTCAATCTCAAATCTATGTATTATTATATACATGTACAATTTGACATGAATCAATGTTTACCTGAACCAACCAAATTCCTGGCTGCAACACTTGCTCAATCTGGTAGCCAGATTCAATTTGCTTAAGTATCTATTGCTACTGCCTGCTCTTAAACTTTCTGAAGTACTGGTAAAGACTAATTATTTATGTCTGTTTGTCCAATTTTACAACAAAATATGTACAATTCTGCATCCAGCAACCTAGTTAAAAGAATGGCTATATCCATCATGCTCTAGGTGTCTCTTTAGAGAACCTCTTGCAGCAATGGTTCAATCATAGCAGCTTGGCCAGAAAAACCTTGTTTTCCAATGGAGAAACAAGTAAGATGCATTACAACACCTTATAGTATCTTTGACAATGTAAGTGTAAGTAAACATTTCTTTTGATCCTTGGTAGTCAAACCCACTTCCTGAGACTGTTCAGAAGCAGATTTAGTCACAGTAGTCGTTGATGTGGCTTATTCTTTGGCTACAGTATCTAATTCAACATGACCTTTTGATTCTTGTTGCCACAGCAATAGCCTCAGTTAAAGACAAAATAGGAAATATGAGACCTTCAGTAATGTAAATAAATATAAACATTGGTGAAACGTAGTTTAATATAAATATAGAACCTTAATCAGGTCTAGAGACATACAGTAGGCTGAATCATAATGATTCACTAATTAATATGTGAGTCCTTTGTTCTTTTTAGAGCAGTACACCTGATGAACATATTTTCGTAGAATGTATTGATGAAAGTGCATGGAATGTTTTTTCACATTCTCACAGTGATGCTCAGACCCTAAAGAGGTAGGAGTTACATTGTTCCAACTACCTGTCTCCTTCTTCATTAAGTTTTAACAGTGTTGTTCAAATTCCTAGGATGCTTAATCTACCAAGTCACAAACCTCTGATCAAATAGATTCATTGTTACTGGAATCCGTAGTGTATTAGGGTCTGTCTGTATTTATTTATTGTCAGTGTGTCATCAAATTTTACTCTGTTTCTAACACTGTTAAAGAAGGTATTGTTACGTCTCTGTTTGTTAATTAACTTCCCGTAACTTCGTTCCGACGAAACTTTAGCGACACAAGTCCTT